ATGAAAGATGCAGGAAGAGTCATAAGGATACCTAATACTTCATAAGCTGGTTAAAATGTACAAAGAAAAATCAAGGGATAAAAATGCTCCCTTGGCTCAAATATGACCAAGTGCATCACACAGATAAGTGGCGGTTCAGATTTATCAGTCCTTCCTAATGTTCAATTAGCAGCAGTAACACAGTAGGAGCCATTTCCTGTACTGCTCTGTGTGCTCTCCAACTGAGAACCTTCCCCCCTCCACATTAATAAGTGGTGGCCGCGGTCCCTGGTAAGGGACTAAAGTCTGATAATTAGTCTTGTAAACAAGAGAATTAAAGGGAGCATAGTTTATCCCTTCTCCTCAGCTCGAGTGGCATTTTGACACGCTGTGCCTACCTTTGCTAATTACCTGATAAGCGAACTTATCAGCCTATAGGGGAGAGAACAAGAATTTGGAATTTGAAACCGTGTTGGCCTTCAGACAAATGTGGTTCTGTGACCTTCAGCAAATCACTTAATAGTTCCAAACTTCAATTTCTTTATCTGTAAGAAGGAGATAAGAATATCTATCTTGGAAAGATGCTCCAAGAGAGCGGTGTGAAGTAAGGACTGCATCTCATTAGAGGGGGGCCTGGAATCTGAACCTGGCCGGTCTGAAGCTCCTAGCCAACAAACAACCAGGTCTCTAGATGCCGCTTTCACTAATTAACTCTCCTGACCAGCTTCTGTCTTTCTCCCCTACACCCTATGAATATATTGTGAATACACAATATGAAAATATTGCTCAGGATTTGAATCATTTCCTTCTTTCTCCCTGAAATTAATGGCCCACGTGAGATTTTACAGCTTGAGACCAAAACCCCTACACATACAGTCACTCCTGTTTAGCACAAAGCGGCTTCAGCCAGTAGCCCAGCCAGTTTGGCTACTGGGCTCAGCTCCCTGGATTCAGTAATCTCAGGAGAAATGCTTGTCTGTCAGTCTATCTATCTATCTATCTATCTATCTATCTATCTATCTATCTATCTATCTATCTATCTATCTATCCATCTATCTATCTAGACAGCCTCATGTAGCCCAGGCTGGTCTCAAACTCATTATATAGCCAATAATGAACTCGAACCCCTGATTCTCTTGTACTGGGATGGATTACATCATCATCATGCTTGGCTAAGACAGTGTCACATGTGCATCCTACAGGGCAACTGGGGGAAATGTTCAAGTCCCAACCCCGAGAAAGGCGTTGGCTCATCTAGAAGCCTTCCTTTATGCCACTTGTTCTCAACCTGTGGGCCACAGCCCCTTTGGCAAACCTCTATATTCAAAAATACCTCTAATTTATAACAGTAGCAAAATTACAGTTATGAAATGAAAATAACTATGGCTGGGGTCACCTCAACCTGAGCAGCTCTATTCAAGGGTTGCAGCGCTAGGAAGGCTGAGAACCACTGTTTTATGCTGCCAAGCTCCTAATTCTTGCAGGCCCTGCTTTTGGAAGCCTTTTAAAGAAATCTCACTCAGATTTCTGCTTGAATACTGCCGTTCTCACCAGGCCTTTGTGCTGTAGGGAGGGATTTGTGGTGAAGTTGCCAAAGGTTTCAAGTATTTTCTTGCCTGAATCCAGTTGACCGTTCTTGAATTTCTTGTTTGACCTCTTGGCCAGGCACCCGAGAAAGTCTCATGGAACTTCTTTTGATTCACTGATTGCATTTAAGGCCCAACCTGGTGTGGAATGTTTTTTATTTGAAACAATTAAGTGGTTGTATATCACACTATCAACAAATGTCCCCAGCAGAGTGACTTGCCAGTGAACTCATATTCACAGCTCCGGAGGAGTAGCCTTTTTGAACAGTTCCTTTCCCCGGGGATAATGGCTTTTCATTTCCAAACACAGGATAATAATGCTATAGTCTCAATATTGTAGTTTCAGGTAAAGATCCACTTGTCAGTTCCTTTGACACAACGTTTTCTGTTCCAAGAACATAGATTGGAACATTTCGGAGTTGCAGGTCAAGGTGTGTCTCGTGTGTCATTTGAAGCGGTAACAATTTTTGTCTGCAGTGGGTCAGAGAGTAAAACATTCTAGGTTTCACAGACAAAAATGTCTGTCACAGAAGTATAGAACTTTGCCCTTGTCGCATGAATGCAGTCATAAGTGTTCCAGCAAAACTTTATTTACAAAAACAGGAGATAGAGCCGACTAGGCTCATATGTATTTCCTTCTGCAGCCCTCTTCTTCGGCCTTTTTGTGAGTGCTCATTATTCATCTGGACCTTGAACTTATTTATTTTGGCCTAAAGTGTTTTTTTTTTTGATCCTAATTTGTTTTTAAGTGCTTTTTATTTTCAGAGCAAGATAATCACTCTTTCCCCAAAGGCTGAAACCTCATGTGGCAGGTGACACGTATTGAAGAATCACCTTATAAGGAACGATCCACCCACCCTCTCTCCTCTATCAATCCCACCCACTCGCAAATGTTCCTTTAATTTCTGTGGTGAGTAAAAGGAACCTTTATTACATTACATTAGATTCCGAAAACTATTTTTAACATCTCGAGAGTTGTGTTTTTACTTCCATCGACTTATTTTCATGAATCCATGCATTCTTTCCTACACATGTCTGAGTTTGGAATGAAAAGCATCAAGTTTTCTATTACTATCATTGAAAGGAGGTTTCGTTTTTTGGGCTTGCTTTTTTTTTCTCAGATGTTTAATGTTCAAGAATGAAGTCTGCTCTGTGAAGGATGTATGGGTAGACCTTTGGAGGCAGATGAAGGCTATGACTCCAGCTGGCAACCCACTGTCACCGTTCCAAATGGATCGGAAGCCATGAGGCTCAAGAAGATTGTGGGGAGAAAGAAAGAGGCCTGCACTTTGGGCCTCCTTGGGCCGTTCTTCTCTCCCCTGTGCACTGCGTACACCCTCAGCTGCTGATAGGCAGTGTCTCACAATGATTCCCATGTCACCCCCTTCTCAAGTCTAGTCCTGGACCACCCAAAGCTGTGTTTTTATCTTGGAGTTACGAAGGCATTTGCTGTCACATGATTTTGTTTGCTGTGAGATTAAAACAAAAAGGCACTGCCCACCGGAAGTCCCATTATCAGTGGCGTGTTTAGAAACCCCGCCCCCTTATGAGGCCGCAATAAGACTGGTTCTTTTTTTTCTTTTTTTAATATTTATTTATTTATTATGTATACAGCATTCCTTCCATGTATGTGTGCAGGCCAGAAGAGGGCACCAGACCCCATTACAGATGGTTGTGAGCCACCATATGGTTGCTGGGAATTGAACTCAGGACCTTTGGGAGAGCAGGCAATGCTCTTAACCTCTGAGCCATCTCTCCAGCCCCAAGACTGGTTCTTGAAAGTGCTTTTTAACTAGGAATAAGGAAGCATTTTCCTTGCTTTTGTTTTTCCCCTCTTTCACTGTGTTACACCAGGAACTGTTGCTGCTAGGGCTATAACACTGAAAATCAGACACTGTCCTTGGTCTCACAAAGCTCACATTCCTAAGATGTATTATGCAACTAAGAACAAACATTCTTGGGGAAAATCCATCTGCAATGAAGTATTGTTGACAGTCAATGAGCATAGAAGGGCTCCAACATGCTAGGATGTTGTTAAATTGCTCAAAACCTGCCTGTGTTTGGGGCGCCATGTAGCAAGCAGAAAGTAAGGTTAAGATCTGTTATGGGATATATATATATATATATATATATATATATATATATAGTAATTTAACTTTATTTCATGCACACTGGAGTTACAGACAGCTGTGAGCTACCATGTGGGTGCTGGGAATTGAACCCAGGTCCTCTGGAGGAGCTTTCAGTGCTCTTAACTGCTGAGCCCTCTATGGGATATATTTTTAAAGCTGGGAGAATCTCAAGGTGTGGGATTAAGGACTGACCAAGCCTGGCCAGATAAGAACATGAATATACAATACAGTCATGCTGTGCCTCCTTCATTGGTATCTGCTGAATTCCGGTGTTGCTGCCAAAGTTATGTGCACAAACTGTGTTTATCTGGTTTACAGCTGTTCCTGAACCTTCCTCCTACACTTCCACCATCTTATGACCTCTGGCTGGACAGGAACAGGTGAGCAGCATTTCACTGTGCTGCGAATTCATGATCTCTGTATCATTAAGGGATAAAATTTAAATCATTTCAATAGTATTGAAATGTTCACTGCCCTTCCCCATGTAGAAAGGCAGCTTTTCATGATTTGAATTTGATCATGATCAAAGACTGTGATTAACCGATCTTTCTAGTGGAACCAAATAAGTCTGAATTCATTCTGGGGAAGCTGCTGAAAGAAACACTTTATGGAAACACAAAAAACATCGTAAACAGTGACTGCCTGGGAGGAACTAGAGAACAAAATACACGGATGCCCTGTGCTCATCAAAACACACGGGGAAAATCTTTTCCTGTATCTTTTGTGGCTGCTAATGAGTCTGATTCATATACTTACCTGTCATTTTGAACAATTCTGGCACCACAAAGAGTACTCTTCCTTTTCCTAAAAAAAAAAAAAAAAAAGAAAAAAAAGAAAAGAAAATAGAAAGCTCTAGTCCAAACCAAGAGCCTCTGTAGGTTGTCTTAATTGCTACTTTGCACTGCAGTGGACTTTGACTGATTTTTGGCACATGCTATCATACACAGAGTTCCTAAAATAAAATGCTCCAGGATATCCTAGGAACTCTTAGAAGGCTTTAAAAGGGGACTAGCACACTGAAAGAGTAGCCTTTGAGGACGACAGTTCAGACAAGGAGAATGGCTGGCATGGCAGAATTACATGACTAATTGAGATCTTGAAGTGGCTGCAGACTGTCCTTGCCACCTAACTTATCATGGTTAGGGGGAGGTTGCGAATTCCGTTTTGATAAAGACAATTGTGCGCTCCCCTCCCCAAGTGACTATACATTTAAATAGCTAAAACATCTGTGCCGCAACCTAGTAAAACATGTATACTCGGAACGCTTGAGCAGAAAGCCTGCCAAGCGACCGCTTGAGAGGGACTTTGCTGAGAGAGAGAGAGCACCAAGATAAAGCAACTGCTGTTTGTTTTGTCTAGTCAAGGGAGAGCCAAGGCAACCAATATTTTGGGTTTCTTTTATTTCGTTTGTGAAAGATTATTTAAGAAAGGGTGTCGAGGGGAAGTTTCCTGACAGGAATTTTTAAAGCTGTCTATTAGCAGACGAGCAGGAGAGTCTTGGATGTCAACGCCTGACAAACTCTTGAGACTAGCTACCAAACCACGAAAAGTGATTTTCTTTCTGAGTCTTTTCTCCGGCCCTTCCGATGGAAGCAGAAACGGGGAGCACCATGGAGACCGGAAAGGGCACCAGTCGAGGCGTTCGAATTGCACTGGCCCTGTTTGTTGTTGGCACCCTGGTCCTGGGCACACTGCTCTTCCTAGGTAAGTAGAACTCCAGAGGCCAGAGGAACTGGGCATCTATGGAGAAACTTTCTAATTCTTTATTCTAGAAACCCTTGTCATAATGCAGGCTGTTTGTGTATGCTAAAAAATAAAGATGCACCCTTAGTTTCAGCCAGATATGTCAGTGAAAAAGGAGGCTTTTTTAAAGCACCAAATATATAGTCCAGGAGACAAAGTGGATTAGAAAGTGGTTTGGAATGGCTGGTGGGTTCGATTGCACTGAGGGGGGGAACATTATGTATTACATTTCCCAGATTGTTTTATGAATTCATGGTTATATACTTGCCTTTGTTTTGTGAGGGAACAGCCACACTAGAATTTCTTTTTGTTTGACTTTTGTTCATGGTCGCTTGAACAAGTTACAAAGTACAATTCACAAAAGATAAATCAGTCCTTACATGGGATTCTTCGAATCTTTGTTAATCCGGTGATTTTGATAGATGCAGAATGGTTAACGCCACCTTCCTGATAGAGTTCAAAATGAAGGTGAAAGATTTGAAAGGCAGTGAGATTCAATCACTTTCCTAACTCCTGTGAGAATGCTGTACTCAGAGAGAATGTGTAGACAAAAGCATTTTCCCAGGGAGGGGGAAAGCATGAAACCTGTTGGAAAGGGACAGGGGATGCTCGAGAGTTTAGAGTTTCCAAACCTCTGGCTATTTTTTTTTCTTATGTAACTCCTAGTATTTCATTGGCTTGAAGGTCACCTAGAAACAAGCCCTATATTTAAGAGCTTCTAGGTGTATCTTGAAATGAAGCAGGCCTGGAAACATTCCTTGGCATATACAGGATGCGGGAGGCCATGTTTATTTTGGCAAGAGAAAACCAGTAATTAACTTTTAAAAGAGTTAGGCTTGTGTGGTTGAGATCCCTGCTAAAACGAGCAAACCACCTTTCCATGTTTTCTATGGCTGAAGAGTTAGGAAATTAGATCAGTATATTGCTTTCTGGTGAAGCTGGACCTTCTACTCCTGGGACTGAATTTGTGGGTCTTAAAAACTATTGTGAGGTTTCTCCAAACTTGGCTTTAGACAATCAACTTTCTGAAATTTTAAACTGGAGGAGAAATTTTATGGGCATGCCAAGGAACTACTCATGATGTGGGAAGTGATTAAGGGGCTAGGTTTACACATACTCCAAGTGGTCATCATGAAGTGTCAATATGCGATCCTTTTAGGGATGTTAATAGCGTTTTGCAACTTTTTTCAATTCTGCTTTTATGATCATTGCACTTTGAGACCATAGCATTCCAGAAGATGATCATTTAGAGCAAAATTGTGTTGCTCTTGAGAAAATGAATTTTGACACAAACATTAAAGTTTTTAGGTAAAGTAAACTTTACTAAATCAAGTATCGCTACTCTGGAGGAGGCCTGGCTAAGAAAGATAAATTTTCAGTATGTCTAGTAACCTGACTCTCACCTTGAATCATCTGGAGTACATCTAATGATGATGGACAATAAACAGGACCAGCTAAGGGTGTGACCTCATTCTTCTTTTGTTGTTCCGCGTGGTCTTCTAACCGGCAACATCAGCATCACTTGAGAGTTTGAGCTCCTCTACCCCCAGATCTACTGATTCAGTCTGTATTTTCACAAGACACTAGAGGATTCATTTGCATGTGCAAGTCTGGAAAACATTGTTTCAGAGTGCATCTATCTGAGGGTCTACAGTCAGGAATGTTTATTCATTCATTCATTCACCCATTTATTTATTTGTTTGTTTGTTTACTTATTTATTTATAACACGTTCCCACTATGTGTAGTAATAAGAGTGGCGGGGCTGCGTCCCCAGCACCCCGGCTGCCTGGCTAGCTCATGCCCGAAATAACAACACACAAACTGTATTCATTTAATCACTGCTTGGCCCATTTCTATCTAGCCTCTTCTAGGCTAATTCTCTCATATTAATTTAGCCCATTTCTAATCATCTGTGTAGCGCCCCTAGGTGCGCTTACCGGGAAGATTCTAACCTATGTCCATCCTGGGTTGGAGCTTCATCACGTGCGTCTGCCTGGGAGCTGGGAGCATGGCGTCTCTCTGAGGCGTCTGCTCCCGAGAGGAGGGCTGTGGAGTCTGACCTCACTTCCTCTTCCTCCTAGTGTTCTGTTCTGTTTACTCCTCCCACCTATCTTCTAACCAATGAGGGCCAAGCAGTTTCTTTTTATTTAACCAATGACCTTCCTCCATCAACTATGTATCCCTGTCTGGCCTGGAACTTACTATGTAGATCAGGCTGTGACTATTACGACTAACTGTGATATTCCTGCCTCTGCCTCCCAAATGCTGGGATGACATGACTGTACTGCCATGCCTATCTAAGAACTTTTATATTTTTGCCAACTATTTCAGCACAATGGTTTCCCCCACATCTTTCTCCACGGTCTGCCCCCAAGAACCCAAACTCTGCATCTTGCTTGCTAAATGCCTGAAAAACCATGTTCTTCATGACAACAGTCTAGTTATGATCTTCCTTGGAAGGCGCTTCTTTGTTGACATTGCAGTATGCGCTCTGCATGTCCATGTTCAGTCATATGTCTACGATGCCTAGCATCCTGCCTCACCTCTCCTTTGGCTTTGTCATATACAGAAAGAATGGCTGCCAGTGGTCCGAGGTGGTTTCAGAGAACCTGGGGATTTAAAAATATCAAGTATAGCAATAGAGCCACACATCATTTCAAGTGTTCTCTTCTTCCTTCCTTCTCCTTCCTTCCTGAAATCTGTTTCTCAGATGCAGTGCTCTGCAAGCTTTTCCTGTCAAGACCAGATGAGAGTAAATATTTCTGGCCCCATTGCCATACATTCCTTGTTGCAGGACTCTTTTTCATCGTACCACTAAAGCATCCCTAGACAAAACGGGCACGAATGGGAGCCAGGAAGATAAGTTTTCTCGATATTGAAGCTATATGATCCTTCATTGGATCCCTCCCCCATCAAAAAAGGCCTTTCACAGAGATAGGAAGAAGTGACCTCAGTCTGGTTTGTGGGTTCTAGTCAGTACTTGGGTGATGATTCTCTCAGCTGTATGGTCTTTCTCAAGCTTTCCATTCTGTTTTTTTTTTTTTTTTTTAATCCGTGTCGGGGGTGGAAATCAGGACATTGCGCATGTGTTGTAAGTATTCTATCACTGAGACGTGTTACTGGCTTCACTCTTACTCTCTTGATCTGTGGATATCCCCAGCGCATCTTTGGGGGGATTCTAAGTTGAGCTGCTTGACTTTTTCAAAAAGCTTCTAAAGAGTTAAAAGTAATGCCTGATTGTTTTATAGTAAACTATTTTCTATCTCATTCATTTCCGTTTCATTTATTTAATTTTTAATTTGGGCTTGTTGATCCTTGTCTGTTTCCAGGACTTTAATCCATGTGGGCATAATGTTCTCTTTTTGAGGGATATGGTCTCTGTCTGTGTCCCAACTGATTAAAGTCAAAACCTTCCTCATATATACTGTCAGGTAAAAGAACTGACATTAGCTTGAAGTCCTTACAAGCCACACTGGCTTGAAAGTTGCAGTGAGATTCCTGGTTGTCCTTGAATCCCCGATTTTCCCCACCTCTTTCAGCAAAGTTTTGAGAAAGGATAGCTTTTTAGCCATTTTATAAGATTTAAAAAAAAATAAAGCTACTAACAAGAACATATTATCTAGAATAATAAAATTATTAATATTTATAGTAAAATTTGTATTTCCTTTATAAAAATACCACCTGCTCCTAAAAGAACTTTTGGTAAATATGTAAAAATTGACAAAAAGGAAGAACTCCCCATAGATCTACCATCAAGGTACATTAGAATGTCCTGTACTGATCTTTAAACTGTTTATATATTTTTACCTATTTTTTTTTCTTGCAGGAAAACTCCCACTCCTTTCAGGTTTTAAGACTTCTTTTGAAAATAAGCCCGAGAGATTCTGTAGGCAGGTTTCTTGAATCTATAATGGAGCACAGATAAAAAAGACTGTTTGGAGGATGGGAGTGGAGAAAAGAACAAAGACAAAGCAGACTCCTCTTAGGATGTGGGTTCATAAATAATAAGACATGCCACACTGACAGGTGACCTGCAGGGCTGCATCTCGAGCAGAAGCATCAACACGCTAAGGTTTCTTGATTGCGCTTCTCAGCCCCCTTGTCCATTTCTTCATGGCCAGCTCTTCAAAGATCCCTTGTTTTTGTTCACGGAGTGCAGCAATAATGAAAGGCTCACAATTTCTCCAGCTATGGAGGAAAAAAACGTGGATTTCGAAAAGCTTTTAGATTTAAGGCTCATATTTGCCAATGTCCAGATTCTACCTGGAGTTCAAAACCAGTGGTGCATTCTTCTATGCTTTTACAAAAGCACTCATGTCCAGCCTGTGTCTGCATCCCGCATGTAGTCGAAGACAGCTATGCATGTGGCCTGACACGAAAATCTTAACTTACCTAAAGACATTATGAGATTAAAAACATGTTTTCATTTTGTGACTTGGCAGCATGATTCTTAAGCCTGAACTTTGTAGAAGACACTGCCATGTCAAAGGACTGGAAATGTCTGATAGGTTGTTGCCAGTTGGGAATATTAAACACTGGTGAAAACTGTTTCGATTGTACAGGAGTGTGTGTTTGTGTGTGTGTGTCCATAATGCAGCCTGCACAGTTTGTGAGAGGCTCTGGGTTCAGTCTCTGCCAGCCAAATCATAAACACATACAATGGCTCTGCCTCTCCCTTAGAGTTTCTGAACCTGGAGATTTGGAGTAAGGATGTGCACTCTACCAAGCTTCCAGGTGCAGCTGTGGCCCCGGTGACCTGACTCCTCAACACAGCTCCTTCTACCCCTTCTACCCACTCCTTCCTCATAGGATAGGAGGGAGTTTAGAACAACCATGAGTCCTAGCAAGGCTGTTTACATATTCATCAAGGTGTTTCCTTGGTTTCGAGCCAACTTGATTTTTTGACTACCATGTCAATACTGAGAAGCGTGAACTGATGGCAAATGTCTTGTATATGTGCCCAGATGGGTTTTACTTGATGGTGGTCTGCTACAAGTCAATCATTTATTTTGGTCTGTTTTTGCAGTGAGTCAAGGTCTCCTAAGCTTCCAAGCTAAACAGGAGTACTGTCTGAAGCCAGAGTGCATAGAAGCCGGTAAGTCTGTTTTCCACCCTGTGTCGAGTTATAATTTTGGTACCTTGGGGAGTGGAAGAGAAAACAGGTAGTATTTTTAGTGTTCTGTTTGCTTGAGGTTGACCAAATACAAAATGCAATTTTGAAGGTATTTCAAGTTTACTTTCAAGGTTTGGTGTGAAGTAGTGGAGATTAGGTTTCCTGTTTTCTTTGTAAAAGCCGAGCTGTACGGCATTTCAGCCCTCATGATAAGGGACTCTGGAAAGGGCTTGCAAACCAGGACACCCTCCCTTAAATCACACAGGGATCATGGGCCTCCCAGGACTCTGCTGGACAGATTCCTCTTTGTCTTTTTTTTTTTTTTTTTTTTTTTTTTTTTTTTTTTCAGATTCCTCTTTGTCTTAAGCAGACTTTGTGTATCCTCTGGGCCAATGAGCATGGCCCATTTGGTTCTAAACAGGGACACTGGCAGTCTATGCTTCTGGGTTAGTAAATCCTGCTTGCGTCCCCATAATTCATTTAGGGCCTAGATTTGAAGAAGCCAAATCCTTGCCTCCAGCCCCACCCCAAGTTCTTTAAGGGGGCAGGACCCTAGGGCATTTTCCAAAGAGAAATTCATGGGACAATTAAACATGCAGGCTTTTCCTCTTGACAGGAGAAGAAGAGATTAATGCGTGAATTCAACAAATAGTTATTATTCATGCCAGGGACTGAGTTAGGTTTTGGTTTATATATGGTTAGGCTTATATCACAACAAATAGCTAGAGAGAGGAAAAAAATAAAACCACACACACAGACACACACACACAGACACACACACACACACACACACACACACACAGGTCTGGGAATGTAGCTCAATTTGTAGAATAGTTGCCTATCATTTATGAAGCTCTGAGTTCACTTCTCAGCACACAAAAATTGGACATGGTGATACATGGCTGCAACCCCAGTATTCTGGACTGAAAGACAGGAAGATCAAGAGTTCATGGCCGTCCATAGCTACTTAGTAAGTTTGAGGCCAGTGTGCATTATACGAGACCCTGTCTCAAAACAATGCTAAAACAAACCAAAATCAAAATCCATAGAAGGCACACAGTATACAAACATATGATCAGAAAATGAAAATATCCAAACAGACTCATGTGCTAATAAGTGACAGAATGGCCAGATTGAAGGTTCTGGGAGTAGGAGCTTCAAAAAGACATTGAATAATGAGAAGGGAAATGGGATGTGAAGACCGAGGCAAGGGCTTTCCTTTGGGCAAAAGGTGCCATAGAGGAATGAGCTTGAAGGATGGCAGCAATTTCTGGGTGAGGAGCACCGTGCAGGCGGAAGGGTTCTGTAGGTGACCTAGGTGCCATGGGTTTGGGACTTTCTTTAGTGTTCTCTAGCGTTTCTTGAGAGTTTTGGGAGAAAACATATGAGCTCTTAATTAAGATCATGACAGCCAGCTGTGGTGGCACGTGCTCCTGGTCCTAGTACTTGGGAGGTGAAGCCAGCCAGGGTTACCTAGTGAGTTCAAGGACAGCATTGAGATGCATGGAAAGAAACTGTCTCAAAGTAGCAACAGCTGTCTTTCTGTAGATAACTTGGCTTTGGGGAGAAATGCAGAAAACACAATCAGAAAGGAGGTTGCAGTCAGTAGGCCAGGCGAGAGAGGATGTTGCTTAATTTGAGGTGGAGATTGCCAAAGATCTAGGAGCTGGGAGGCTTCCTGAAGGCATTGTGGTAGCCATGTGGTTGAGATGTATTGTGGGAAAAGGCAGGATTTAGATGGTAAGCAGTAGCGTTAATTGAGCTGGGAAAGGCTTCATAACCTGCTGGTTGTGATGGTGCACACCTTTAATCTCAGGACTCAGGAGGTGGAGACAGGTGGTTCACTGTGAGTTCAAGGCCAGCTTGGTCAGGGAGCTGTGGAATGGCTGTTGAGTCCACGTGTCCTGAGAACTAAAGTCAAGTCTGGCTTTATGCAAGAGCTTGTGTTCGGGTGGGGAAAGGGTGCATAGGCACAGGTGCCAGTGGTGAAAGGCCTGGGCATGGAAATGTCTGACCCACTCTCGCTTTTTTTCTGAGCAAGTGGCAGTCATTTGTGAGATGCCTCCTCTCTAAAACTCGGCATTTCTTTCTTGTCCTCCTGATCTCTTCTCCTAACTCCTCTTTGGCAATGCAAACGGCAGAAAGACTACGGAGAAACAATGGAGATAGGGTGGCTTGGATTTGGAATATACACAATCCAGATACTTCTAGGTCCCATGATCTCAAACTGCAGTCTCATTACCTGTGAAATGGGACTAGAATTTTTGAACATTCATATGAGTTGTGGAAATCAAAGAAAAGAAAAATTGTAATAGTACCCCTGCATCAAAACCCTCAATCCCTGAAAGCAATGTAACCCCAATTTGTAGCATCAAACCCCATCTCAGTTCCTTTGGCAAAACTGGGCTTATAAGCAAAAGTAGCCAGTGTGAAGCCATTTTAGACTTTATTCACTCCATTTATGAGAGTATGCATTTATTTCCCTGTAGAAATATTAATGTGCTTGTTTTAGTGGTACCAATTCAGCCATTGCTGAGCTATTCGGTCACCTGTGGTTATATATGGTGTACGTTCTTTTGCAAAATTTGAAAATCTGCCAGCTCTGGAAATCTAGTATCAGTTTTAGATGACCATTTATAGAATTTTATTTTCAAAATGCTTACATGCATGTGAGTAGTTCCGGGTTTAGCTATCTCTGTGTACACAAACTCAGTTGAGAAAATGCCTCCATCACATGGCCTATAGGCAAGTCTGCAGGAGTATTTTCTTGATAAATGATTGATGTGGGAGAGTCCGGCCCATTTCGTGGAGTGGTACCCCTGGGCAGATTTAAGGAAGGAAGATGAGCAAGAGCCCGAGTAACAAGCTGGGAAGCAGCATTCCTCTGTGGTCTCTGCTTCAGTTCCTGCCTTGTCTTTTTCCCATGATGAACTGTGTCACTTAAAGCCAAATAAACCCTTTCTTGCAAAAGTTGCTTTTGGTCGTGGAAACCGAACTAGGACAATTATTTCGCTCTTGCATAGTGTTACTGTCATTCCAACCCAAGCAGCCTCACACGCTAGAGTTTGTGAAAAAAAAGCTTTATTGCTCAAACAAGGGCTTAGCATATATAGTTCTGGGCGCAGAGGAAATGTTCAATGTGAGTGATTTGATTATTTCATAGAAATATTAATATGCACGCCTTTACAAAACGTTTCTTTGAACCCGGATTGAAACCAACACCTCTGAGGGTCCCTGTGGAGGAACGCTTCCACCTGTACCGTATAGACTAGTGGGAGCCCTTCCAACGTTAGCCTCATGGGCAACACTTGAGAGCTTCGCAGCTAGCGCCTTCACAGCTTTTATATATATGTTTATTAAAACGAGAGTCTCAGTTTTCTCTATGGGGCTAGTAGGAAAATGGAGTTTTGGTGTCTTGACAACGATGGTCCCTTGCAATTTGAAGTCCCAGTTCTGCACAGAGAGGGCAGCCCTGCTCCTAACTGTGAGCAGGGAATGATGGATTGCAAGGCTGAGGGAAGAGTGTTCTCGCTCCGCGGGCTCCTTTCCAAACGCAGCGTGAGTGATGTAGTCTTTCGCTTTTCTAGCGGGGCCCCGAGGTCAGAGCTGAGTTTGCAGTTTTCCTCAGTACCTGTGAGAAAACCCAAGGAGATAGGGAAAGAGGCATTTAAGAGTTGGGGCCAGGGGGGCTGGGAAGGAAGCCAGAAAGCAGTGAGCTTATGTGAGTCAAAGTGCGTGCGAGAGCTCCCCATGGGACTGTAAATATTGTGTGCAACTGAGACTCACGTGTTCAATGTCCCTGAGGTGTGACATGGCAGATTCCATCTGTGACTGCACAGACTGACGGCAACTACAAGCCAGAAGAAAGATTTTTGTGTGCTCTAGCACTTTTGAATATTAAAAATATTGGGGAAATAGTAGCTGTAAGCAAAACTGTAGAGACAGTGGAATTAGTTCTGGAACAAAGAAAAAAGTTAAACCAACTTGAAATTTATCACACTTTCAAATCAAGTTTCTCCCCCAAGATAGTGGTTGAAAATGGTGAAAATTCGAAGTCCTATGGAAATTATGCCTTGGGCAGTGAAGAGGTAGAGGCAGAAGAATGACGGTGAGTTAGAAGCCAGCCTTGTTTACACATCAAGTTCTAGGCTAGCAGCTAGGATTAAATAGTGAGAGCCTGTCTAAAAATACAAAAATGAAACAAAAAAGTAGGGTGTTTGCCTATTCATTTCAATGTCTCCAAGCAGTGGTTTTTCCATCAAAAGGGTAGGTAGGGAAGCATCATCTAGCCTCGTTTTTTAAGCTGGTGGAACTGCCCCCATAACCAAAACATATGCCTCTCAATTTATTTCGATTGTACTGGGGTGGGATATTCATTTTTATTTAGCCGAAAACTCATTGGATTTTCATTATTTCGAGTAGAAATGTGTTCTGGTATTAATTAAGGTATGAAAATTGCTCAGAGTGTCATCCTTCCAATGTCATTAAAATATTGGCAGTCTTTTAAAACCTCGGATGGTGCGCATCTCTGCAGCCAGCAACTGTGTTGCAGCTGGAAGATGGTTTAGAGATGAGTGCTAGGAATACTGGAACCTTCTCTTTTTCTCATTTTGTAGTAATTCCTTAAAGGTCATAGATGCAGCCAACTGTAGCGCCTCATACCTGTAATCCCAGGACTTAGGAGGCCAAGGCAGGAGAATGGCTATGAGGCTGGCAGTCATTTCAAGAAAATGAAATTACATCGCCAGGGCCTCTTAACTTTCCAGGAAGACATCTTCAAAGGATGGTCCTAAGGCTCCATTTGAAGGGATCCGGCAGAGAGGGTGTAGAACTTCTTAGATGCTCAGCTTAGAAAATCACAAGAAGCCATTCCTACCAGGTCTGTTGATCAAAGAAAGTGACAGAGAGAGCCCAACGAATCCACTTGAACTGGGCAAATGGACTTTATTGTTCCAGAGGAAGTGCAGCCAATTTAGCATGCAGGGGAATATGTTGGATGGAAGAAAGGTCACCGAACAGTTGATGCATTTATATTCTAGTTCTACACCCCAAACACATTAGTGACAGCCTGACAGAACTAGGACTAAGAATCTCACCCAGCTTTCTCCTGTACACTCTGAAGGCAGTCATTTTCTATGGTGAAGTTCATCCAGAGAGATATTTGAGGCGACATGTTGAAGCCAGGGTGTGGAACCTGGTTGATATGATTTTTTTTTGTTTCATTTGGAAAAGAACAGTGCACAATATCTAACGCTTGTCATTAATCCTGTGATTTTCTTTTTAAACAGCTGCTGCCATCATGAGCAAAGTAAATCTTTCTGTGGATCCTTGTGAAAATTTCTTCCGGTTTGCTTGTGATGGCTGGATAAACAATAACCCGATTCCTGAAGATATGCCAAGCTTTGGGGTTTATCCTTGGCTCAGACACAATGTTGACCTCAAGCTGAAGGGTAAGTTTCTACTAGAGTTTGGTGGTACTCTTTCCAGAGTAATATTTGACAAGAAGAAGAGTTCAGTATTTGAATTTGGACTATCCAGTCTTAAACTATATTATAGTCATTTCCAAAAAAAAAATTGTTTCAGTAGAAGATAGAAAGTTTTTTGAATTTTAATCTCCCTGATTTCCTTAAGACAAGCCCATTGTAGGCTGTTACTTTTTGACTTGATAATGCCACTGTAAATTCTATTTCAGAAGGTTAACTAACACTTGATAGAGCTTAAGAGCACAGAGATAGTTACTGACCAATACGCTGTATCAAGAAACTTCTTTGTCTACTGTGTTCAAGGTAAAGCTCTTTTCTTTCTTATTTCCTCCTGGATTTTCATGGCTTACAGAATGTTCTTCACGCCTCATCGTCTTTTGACATCATTTTGGAGAACTCTGGACGACCCACGGTTGTCATATTGTTCCTGTTATCTTCCAAGTTAGCTTTTAGGCCACTCGCTTTTCTCCCGTGACCTCTGGAGCAATGACAAGCTCACACACACATACTCACATGTGCACATACACATTTTCATGTGTGCTTGTGTAACCCCTGCCAAAAGTTGGAAACATCTGTTGCTGGACAAGATGGTGTTTGTGTTGAGTCGAGTTTTTATGTTAAGCTTTCGGAGGAAGTTATTGAAGGAGGAAAGTACAAAAATTTCAAGACTAGATAAAGTTTCAAAACTAGAGAGGATAAAAATCATATTTTCCCTCTTTTTGATAACTGTAAAGTATGTTGTGTAATGTACTCAGTAACACAAAGAATTTTGGGGACCTGAGAAGAATTATATTTCTTTTCCATCTTCAATTTTCTGAAATTTTAAGTGCATGGTTATTAAATACGTAGCAATTTGTGTGTTTTATATAATGTGAAACCACTGTCAAAATAATTAGAAGCCTATTTTAATTGTGAGGAAAATGTATTTTCATAAATAGATCTAAATCACATAAGTTTACATTTTTTTTATTAGGAGGCTTAAATTTAGTCTGGATAAATTATGAATGAGAGTTTCGAAGAACGTCAGGGGTTTCCTCTAACCTGATAGATGAGATTCTTGTGCTGTCGAGCCATAAATAATACCTTTTGCACTGAATTCCTAGACTAGTACTTATTCTTGTAAGACAATTAAAAAAATCTTTATGTTATGTGTTTGGGTGTCCTGCCTGCGTGTGTGTATGCGCCCCACATGCTTTCTCGGTGTCTGCGGAAGTCAGAAGAGGACTTTGATTTCCTAGAACTCCCATTAAGGATGCTTGCGAGCCCCCATGTGGGTACTGTGAGTCGAACTCTGTTCCTCTGCAAGAGTAACAAGTGCTCTTAATTACCGGTCATCTCTTCATCTCCTCTCTGTGCGATATTAGTTTATGTTGATCCTTCATCCACCATCATTGGCTATGTCCTATTTCCCTCCTCTGTCTTTTCTTTCTTAAAAGACAGATAAATGGACACACATGTGCGCGTGCTCATACACATACTCATGCGTGCAGGACTACCATTGAATAAAAAAAAGGTGGAGAATTCTGGGTAGATGTTCTTTTTCTGTTAGTGGTGTCTTACTATAAAAATTATAATCAGCATTGGTATGATTTGTTTGAGGAGGACACTGTCTATGACAGTGGTTCTAAACCTTCCTAATGCTGTGACCCTTTAATACAGTTCCTCATGTTATGGTGCCCCCAACCATAAAATTATTTCCATTGCTACTTCATAGCTGTAACTTTGCTGCTGTTATAAATTATAACATAAATATTTTTTGAGCTAGAGGTTTGCCCAAGAAATCTCCACCCACAATTTGAGAACCTCTGGTCTTTGAGCTGCTTCAGAATTAATAAAATTGAGAGCAAACTGTTGAACAAAGATAGTTACTCTGCTCATTTCTCTTTAAAAAGTACAAATTTTGATTTTTTTCCTCATGAATGTATGTGGTGTTTGTGTTTATGTGTTTGCATGTGTATGGGGGCAAGTGTATGTGTGTGTGTGTATGTGTGTGTGTGTAGGACCAAGGTTGACAACATGAGTCTAACTTGATTCCTTTCCACCTTATTCACGGAGCCAGTATCTCTCAATTGAACCCAGAGCGTGCCGGAGTGTGGCTAGTCTGGCTGACCTGGCTAACTAGTTTGATATGGTGGGGATCCTCTTCTCCCCACCCTCTGAGGGCTGGAATTACAGGAGAGCTGCCGTCCTCACTGGGTGTTTCTGTGAGTTTTGGGCATCTGAACTCCATCCTTATGTTTGCTTTCCAAGTGCTTTAATCACTGAGCTGTCTCTTCACCTCCAGAACCCGTTTTTATTTAGCTACATTTAAAGACATAGGTTTTCCCTAAGTCTACCTTTAGACACAAGTGCTAATAAAACACACACACACACATATATAGATACATATATATACACATATATATGTATAACTTCTTATGCATACTCATATCTTAAAAAAATTAGATGTCTTGAATGTTACTAGAACATGTTGTTAATAAAAAAAGGATAAGATAAATAGATTCACAGTAGTAGCCTTGCGTGCATATCTCTATGTTCTTATCGAACTATAAACTTGGAATAAATCTCCAGTAATGAAATTGTTCGATTGAAAGTATTTATAATTAAGCATGGACGACTCATATACTGAAATTACCCTTTGGAAGGTTTACTTCTAGGCTTTTATATTTTCTTGTTGCTTGAAATAACTCTTTTCTATCTCCTCTCCCCTCCTTCGCTTCCTCCCTACCTCCTCCCCGTAGTGTGTGTGTGTGTGTGTGTGTGTGTGTGTGTGTGTGTGCGCGCGTGTGCGTGCATGCTGTAAAGTAGAATCTCAGCAAACTGTGGCTAATGAGCCCTATCCAGCCCACCTTTCTGTTTGTGTGAACACGGTTTTGCTGGAACACAGCCACCTTTACTCAGGCACACAGAGTCACTGACTATCTCTGTGCAGCAGTGGGCAAGTTGAGTAGCTGCTAGAGAAATCATCTGGCCAGCACAGTCTGAGATATTTACTTCCTGGTATTTATGAATAAAAGGCTGACAAATCTTTTTAAAAATAACTTATTTTTTAAATAATTTGCTTATTTTTTATGTGCTTTGCTGTTTTGCCTGCCTGTATGTCTGTGTGGAAGTGTTGGATCTTGGAGTTATAGACAGTTGTGAGCTGGCACATGGGTGCTGGAAATTGAACCCAGCTCCGTCTGGAAGAGCAGTCAGTGCTCTTAACTGCTGAGCAATCTCTGCAACCCCAAGACCAACAACTTTTGATAACAAAAGCAAGCTTGGTTACAGTTATACTAGATTTGATTAGACTTGTCAATAGACTTTTGGTAGCTTCTCTGAGACTTTTAGAGAGTTAATCATAAAGTTAAGAAAGATTTAGACATTGTCCTCCCTCCCTCCCTGCTTCTCCTTTGTTTAGGATCCTCAGCATGATGTTGACTAAAATCAGTGATACTAGGTATACATTTTCTTATTGCTACCGTGAGGAGTAGTGGGTTTAGTTTGCGTCACCTGACATGTGTGTGTATGTATGTTCTTTTTCTGATAGTTAGGTTAGTATTTCTCATTATTCCCTAATGGACAAAAGGGCCTGCTCCAGGAAATTGACTTTTTATTTTGCCATTTAACAGGACTGTCTTTAACCTTCTTTAGATTTCCTCATGCTGAACTAAACTCATAGCTTTGAAATAAACCTTATTTCTGTATGTTTCCTTTTTAAGGCACGCTAGACTTCAGTCAGTTAGTACAGTTTCATGTGTTTGTGTCTGTGCTTATAATTCATCTGGTTCTATGGCTTTTTGTGTGTGCGGTCGTTTTGTCTAATTCAGTTACAAAGATGTGCTCGCCTTGGAAAACAAGGAGCAGGATTCTTGTATCTTTCTAAGTTCTGGAAAAGACAATTCCAAGTCCTCCTGTGGCAAGCACTGCCAGTGGCAAATGTATAAAGTGACCAGGGGTCTTGTGTTGGTCACTGTAAGCCACTCAGAGTGTGAGGTTTCTAAGCCTAGACAGCAGGGCTTGCATCCTTTCATTTTCCCCCTGTGTCACCTTGGGACAATCACCAATCTCTTTTGAGTTCAGTTTCCTCATCTTCAAAATGCTTTAAACCCCCAGCATAGAGAAGATTTATTAAGGACTGAGGAAGATGACTGATAGAAACTACCCACTTCCACTCCTGGCACATAGCAAGCACTCAATAAATATTTGTGTTTTGCATCTCTGATTTATTTCAAAGGTAGTCTGACGTTCACAAAATAATATCTACCAAATGTTTTAAGTTTTGTGCTTCCCTTATCCTTTATAAATATCATGTGCTTTTGAAAATGTTGAATACTGCCGAGGTCTTTTTCCTCATCTTTGGTAAAAAGAATCTCCAAAAATAAAGCCCAATATCACCAGCCAAAAGAATACCATTTTCTTATGGCTGGAAGAGAACACAAAGATTCGGCTGTCCAATTTGTGAAATAAAATGGACCTGACAGAGCTAGCTGATGAAAAATTGCCCTCTGTTGAAGGCAGCAACCTGGCTTCGTGAATTTTTCCCTTAAATGAAATATATGACTCGGATTTCTACTTAGAAAATAAGTTTATTTCTTGTTGTCGCCAAGAAGCAAGATTGTTTTGTGGAGGAGAAAAGACTGAATGTGGTGATGCGGTTGCCTAAAATGTCCTTCCTCTCGCCCTTCCCCATCTGTCTTCACGTGACCGTAAAGATGGAAGGGCATGCATCGTTTATGCATGAGCAGACAGAAATTGAGCTTAAGGAGGACCTCGGAAACATGAGGCGATGAGTGAGCTAGATCACTTGTGTCAGGCAGAAGACAGATGGCTCAAGGTTGGGCCAGCTCATCTTTATTGTGGTTTAGCTACCTTGGCCAATATTTTGTGAAGAAACACAGTATATTATTTTCAATCACAACTGTAGCAGAGCAGGGAGATGAAATTGAGACTACATGTGCATGTTTGGATAGCGATGATTGCGA